TCCTTGTTAAAGTTATATAACTGTAATAAACTAATTGAATTAATTCTATAATTTTGGTGTTACAACATCAACTTTTGAAGTAATTTAAGAAGGAATTATAAAAAAAAATATTGAATTTTTACAAAGAAGGGAATTTCTTTTTATCTTGAGGATATTGAGGAAGATCCGTCCGGTGATGCAGTAATGGCATAAACTGTAATAAATGTAATTGAATTAGTAATAAAGATCATGTTGTTACACTATCAATTATGAAGAAAGTCGTTGTCATTTGTGCAGCAAGCACAAAACAAAACCAAAAACAAAACAAAAAAAACGAAACAGCGATTCGGCATAATCAAATTTTTGCAAATGTGACAAGTCCAATGACATTGCAAACGTTAATTCTCGAAATTGCGGGTGCGCAACGAGAAGACAGCATCAAAAGTGATATCGTTTGATAATAGGAAGCGGCGGATATCCAGTGAATTGAGCATCCGTCGGTTCCCAAATAGCATCACATACACACACAGTTTTAAACTTATCTTATTATTTAATGAACGCAATTGCGTCGATCGTTGCGGGAATGGCGTTGACATTCGTACGTTATTGCGTATCGTCTTCGATCAATTGAACGAACGCCTATTTTACGCATTACCGTTTACTACCATCACCGGTCGTTGTTGCATAATAAACCGCACAACGTTACGTTTCTCACGTGCCGTTGATTGAATGTTGACAACAATAAAAAAAAATTGAAGGAGCGCGCAAAAATAAATGCACGAGGTGGATGGATGAGATGATGAAGAAGCCGAAGAGGAGGAGGAGTAGAACAGCAGACACGTTTTCCTTCTATATTGAATTGTCGAGAAATTCAACTTTCGACGCTCTCGCGTTATGCATAAATGAATGTAATTTGATGGAACAGCGTGAGTGAGGTTGTCCTGGGAATTTTATTTGATCGAACAATCTCTCTGCCCTTTCGTTCGATGCGAAAACAATTTTACTAAGAGATGCGCAGATTTTTGGTCCACGATCTGCGGAAACTCTTCTGCTCATCTCATCTCATCTCATGTCTCTCTGCGTGTTATCACATTTTTTTTTTCTTTTTCTCGTTTGCCTGCGATGAATCTCGGTTTACCGCAGTTCACGAATTCAATTTCCTCTCTCTCCCGCAACCTAAGGATTCCGCAATTAACCCAATTGGAAAAACGGTCGTACGACTTCCGTTACATTTGAAATAAATACCAAAACAAACATGATCAACAAGAACAAAACAACAATTTATTAATCGCATTCTCTTGTATTCGTACAAATCGACAATCGAGAGAATGGTTGAAACTCAATCATATTTAATTAGATTTTATAAAAGCAAAATTTAATTGAAAAAAAAAACTATAATATTTATAACTTCAAATTAAAATTTATTAAATTAGGAAAAATAACATGATTTTACTATTGAAAATAATTTTCAGATTTTATAGATTATATAATACTTTTATAATAATATAATTATATAAGGTTTAGTTTTAATAAGTTCAGAGTTCAAGTTATCAATTAACTTAATACGGTCCTGTTCCTTAGGATTTAAGTGTACAATAAGTTGCCTATAAGTTGTCAATAATTCAAACTTATTTTTTTGTTAATAATACACACATTTTTGTTATGATGAAATTAAGATATATTCAAATACTTGCATTTGTAGTTAATATTGAATAATATAGATTAATTAGAAATTAAGAGATTTCGTTGTTTTTCGTATTGGAAACAATGGTAAAAATCAGAGTTACCAATAGAAGTAACTGAAGATTCCATTTGTAATTTGTAAGTGACAGCAGGATTTACCGCGTAAAAATATAAAGAAAATTTCCGTTAGGCCGAAAAGGAAGCGAAGAAAAAGTCTACAACAATCAAGTCTAATTGCTTTTAATTTGTGTTTGTTGTTGCTCGTAGCCGTCTTCTGTCTCGTAAACAATTCCGAGTTTATCGGCAATCGCAGCAATTCCTGTTATTTTCCTAGAATTGTTACTTTATCGTCAAACGAAAGTGTGAGTGTTTGTAGTTTCGGTTTTTGGTTGAAGCACAACAATGGCCAAAGTGCAGCTATGTAACATTACTGTGATGGACAATCCAAGTCCCTTCTCAAATCCCTTCCAATTCGAGATCACTTTCGAATGCATCGAAGAGCTGAAAGAAGGTATGATTCATTTATTTAAATATATATATATTGGTTTATATGTAAAGAGATTTTTATGTTGTTTCAGATTTGGAGTGGAAAATGATTTACGTTGGATCAGCGGAGAGTGAGGAATATGATCAGGTGCTGGACTCTGTGTTCGTTGGACCAATCCCAGAAGGCAAACACATGTTCATGTTTCAAGTAAATTAAATCAAATAAACTAATTAATATTTTGTTAATAATTTTATATTTTGTTTATAATTTCCAGGCAGATCCACCAAATGTAAGCAGAATACCAGAGAATGATGCTATTGGTGTTACTGTAGTGCTCCTCACCTGTCTGTACAAAGGGCAGGAGTTCATCCGAGTGGGCTATTTTATTAACAATGAATATAGTGACCCAGAAATGAGAGAGAACCCACCAAGCCCCCCACAATTCGATAAGGTAACTAAAATCATGTAAGATCATCAAACACTTCTAATTTGTTAAACTTATAGGTTATTCGCAATATCCTGGCCTCAGAACCTAGGGTAACGCGATTCAAAATCAACTGGGAGGATCCGACGCCTGCAGCTGAGCAGCCCATTACAAACCTAAATGAAAACTCAAACTCCATTTCTACCATGGAATGTGTATAAAAAAACGAAAAACAAAGAGACTTTACCTATTTACAAATTAGATTAGTTATACTTATGTTTCTTATTATTATTTTTTTTATATATATATATATATATGAAGTTTGCCAACGCTTTATGTTTACATTATTCAAACACCTTCTCACTGGTGTCTTCTATTTTTCGATGGTTATATAATTCATGAATGAACTTGATTGTTTTCGTGATAGAATTTGTTCATGTTATTTACACAATTACCATAAGAAAACAAAAAATAAATAATAATAATAATAACATGGAGGAATTCACGTGAAGATGATCTATTTTTGGCAACGGTCAATCTTAGCAAAGTAAGAACTATATACAAAAAAAAAAATGTTAAACATATTAAATTTCTAATAATAAGAATTTACTATATATATTCGTTCCTCGTTTAATTTTAATTAATCATTTTCAGTTTGCCCTAATTGTACGATAAATTCCTTTGACAAATATCTTGAAATTAACTTATCGAAATGTATTTGTTCATTTAAAAATTCGTGTAAATTAATGTTTAGTTATTGTACGCTAATTATTTTCTATATTATTAAAATTTTCCATAAACGTGAATCGAGAAATATGATAGTTTACTAATTCTTTATCTGTCATCATTAGGATTTGGTTACCTGTAGATTTGTTTTATGGATTATACAATTTACTATTGTTACGAATTTAGTTTGTAAATAATTCATTGTAATTACACATGTCGGACAAAGGACAATGATAAATTTGCTTTCTAGTTTAATGTGTTTATCTATATTGTGGGTTTAAGTACATATCAGATTTCATTATTACAGTCGAGAAATTGAGAAATAATTATTTGATATGATCTCTTTGTTTCAGAGTTGAATTATCAAAAGATATGTTGCATGTATGATGATAGGAATTATGGAAATGCGGTATTGTGGATGGCGAATTATGAACAACAGGTGGCAAATTGTTGGATTCGCTCGTTGCGGTTGAGGAAGAATGGAGCAGATGATTCATGAGGTAATTGAAGCGGCTATTAATCAGTTGATTATGCTTATGTATTCGACGTTGACACGAGGGATAAGTAGGGATCATTAATATGCCGTCCGTTTGTTTATAGGTCGAACAAAAGGAAATGCGTGCCAGATAAGTGCGAGTCAAGGATCAACGTGTAATTGACTGCAGGGAAGGAGATAATGAGATGATATGTAAGTGTGCAATTGCCAAAAAAAACAAATCAACTATTTATTTGGTCTGTATGTGTGAGCGTGTAGTTGCTATTGAAGTCATTAGTGTCATGATTAATGATCTGGCAGAGCGCAGCAGTGTTGCGAAGGCGGGGGCGGCAGCGGAGGCGGCGTTAGCGCGTGTTTACTCGTTCGACAATCGACAAAATAACAATTGCCGAGTGTCAACAAAGTGCTGTTGATGATGGATCAACACGCCCAGCCGCGTGGCCCAATGACCCGGCCAGCTCCGCTTTTTGTTTATGCTCTTCAGCTCAATCAAATCGCTGCGGCGAGCAACAATCGCCGTCCATTGGCTGCCGCCTCTCTTCGCCGAAACCGTTTTTGCCCCCCTCAGCCCGCCTCCACCGAAGCTCTCTACCCATTTCGACATTTTATTTGCTGCATTTTCTCGATCTCTCTATGCGATTCTGTTTAGGCCCATGCCTATTCTTTCAACCTCGCAGATTATTTAAATCCGATTACGTCGTCGACGTAATTGTGTTTGCCTGCATCGCAATCCTCGCGCTTTGAAAACACCCCCCTCCCCGCCCCTATGTCGTCCTGCGGTAAGGACGAGAATCGCGCGTACCGCAGCCGTAACCTCAAATATGATGTTACACTTTTTCTCCTCTCCTCTTCTTTTTTTTGTCCTTTTCGTGTGTATCAAATGACGCCGCGCGTGGACCAATCGGATCGGCGGATTCCCTGATTTCCACTCTGCGAACCCCGAAATACCTAACAAAGTGAAAATTGTTAAAGGGTACGTAGAATTTTATTCATTTTAACTTGAATTTTGTATGGCTTTCGTTGTGCCGCCGCCGTTGCCGCCACCGGGCGCCCGAAAATCGACGGGGGAAAATCGGGGATCCCCCGGATCGGTGGCCCAACGTTACGGGCCCCCCAACCCGCATCAGGGACCATCATGCACGTCGTTGCATCCAGGTCCTTAGGTGGGATTTCCCTACCGCAATTCGTTATGTTGTTCTCATCGTCGTTTTGTTCTTCTCTCTCTCTCCTATCATCCTGTCTCGTTCCTTCGCCTCTCGCCACCTACCCAGATGTTTATAACCTAACTTTTTTATTGATCCATCAAACCGCAGCATCCCCACCACCCTCATCCACAATAGCCCCAGCAACAAAACAGACAGGCTTCGGGATTGACAACAAAAAAGGAGCAATTAAAAGCCTAGGCATCATTTATTTTCTATTTTTCACCACGGGCTACGCCCCCACCATCGCACGCTATCCAACAACTTTCATTTGTTCCCCACCAGACGATGCTCCTTTTTTATTCCTCTTCATATATATATATATATGTATAAACATGTATATAGATAAATCTCATTTATCTTCTTTTGCTCGTTCTTCTTCTTCTTCATCCTCTGAAAGAAGAGGTGTTTCTCTCTGTTTTTTTGTTGTTGTTGTTGTTGTCTCTCTTCGTACGTATCAAATTGCATTTGCATTTGCGGCGGACTGCGGGAGAGCAGAAGATTTATGAATGGAGGAGCTCTGCACACATGGCTGGCCCTCGCCGGCATCGCAGACCTAAACCAATCGCGTGTCATCGCAGCAGATTAAATCATAATTAAGGAGACGTTGATGCAGGTCAACCATCCATCAACATGTCTTCTTCAATTAAATGGAATCAGAGCGACGCCTCCTGAAAGAACAAAACAATCATCAGATTGCTTGAAGTGCAGCTATTCAATCTTCAGTAGGCGGGGGATGACTCAATGAATGATTCACAGCTTAAGTCAAGTTCCATATGACTTACGCAGTTTGTAAACTCAATCAGTGACGACGAAATCATGAGCCTCGATGGTCGTGCATGTTATAATTGAAGGTGTACACAACATGTAATTATCAAGTGGAATGCTTGCTACTGCATTATCAGCCATTTATAGTGAAGAGGGTGCTTGAATATGGAGTGACATTATTAGCATACATCGTGCTGATTAACTATTATACAATAATCATCTTTATGGATAACGCACAACAAAAAGATGAAGAGTAAACAACTTGGATTGATTGATCCTTTTTTGAAATACATTAGTTTAACTAAGATTGGAAAGTATCGGAAAGAATGCAGTTAAAACTATTTAGATTTTAGAGCCAAAGTGAGAATTGGATTGTTTATAAAACATTGCCTGATAACACAATTAACATCAATTTGATGGAATTACCAAGAGAAAGTGAGCTAATGTTTAAAAATTATCTACGCAGAAGTTGCGAACTTGGAATCGTTTAGTACGAGTGAAAGAAAAATAGATCAATTCGTTAGTTATCGAAGTTACTTTAGTAAGATTTCATTGATTTGAACTGAGAATCAATGTTTACGTCAATGAATCGATTATTTTGGTGGAATCGCCTGGTGAAAATGAGACAATACGGAAATGGAAGAAGTTACGAACTTGTAGGTATTACTTAATGCAAAATGATGAAGAAAATCGAATAATTGAATACAAGAATGTGATGACATTGACTGATATACTGATTATAACAAGTTGTGGTTGACTTTAGAGATATAGAAATACTACAAATACAGGTGTCAAAGGCTGAGATTAGACATTAATTTGAGATATAGAATTGAAGAAAAGAAGTAGTTATGATTGGAAATATTTAATAAGAAAAAAGTTTACTATAATTGGAGTATTAATAAGAATTGACTGAATAAGCCTGATAAATGATGGAAGTATTATGAAGGGATGAAGGTATCAAAAATCTTGGTGTTGACTTTATGTGATGTGTTAAGTGACGTGCGAAGTGGTTTATTGATTGAAAAGGATGGCCGGAGAAGAGAGTGGAGGTGCGAAAGGAAAACCGCTTCCGTTGTTTCGGATCGTGCAATGATTTACCGCTTTCACAACAATGTTCATATCAACATTTTGCGCCGTAACTAAAATACATAATAAGCGTCGCGACGCTGCGCCGTGACGTTTTATGGATCAAGTGGCGGAGTGATTGATTTCACCTGGTAATTCGAATTAGGTTAATTGATGGCGGGAAATCGTCGGTTGGTGGGGAGGAAATAGGGGAAAAACGTTCGGTTTGCGCGCGCTTCTCGGTTGCCAATTGGTCCTGCATATATTTATTAATACACATTATTAACTTTATTGCCGCCGCAATTCACCGAAGAGCTTTCAGGTCGTACAGAGAGTAAAGGGGGCGGCGTGGGGGTGTGGAGAACATTAACCTTCAAAATTCGTAATTTATGTTTCTCCCCGCATTTACATTCTCGATGCTGGTTTCATTCATGCCGTTGAGCGTTGTTTTTATTGCCCGGCTCGTAAATCAATTTATCGCTCTTTAAATCCTTCGGAAAACAAAGAACGCTCCAGCGCGTAACATGTTGTTCGGTGGAAGGAGTTGCATGCAGGAGGAATGCTTTTCTTTATGTAGCTTGGATGATGATGATGTTAATGACGATGGAAAGGTGATTGTTGCTTTGTTTGGATGTGTGATGATGGAATTCGGGATAAAATAATAAGATGCGGAAGCTGTTATGAATGGGGAAGTCGTGTGGTGATGAGTGGGGAAAGGAGATGGAAAAAAAAAGCAGTAATTTTATTTTATTGCTGGGGCAATTGGCAACGCTGTTTTTTGGGGGGTCAGTGGCGAGAAATAAGAAGCAGAAGAAGAAGAGGTAACAGTTTTTAGCGCATTAAAGATGGCGGACGGTGATTAGATGTAACTATATTACCGCAAATTGGCGAATTTTGTTTACAAACAAACGGGATTATTGTTAAGGTGTTGTGGGAGATGGTGGCTCGACAGTCGGGGTTTCCCCGTTTCGAAGGTTCGCGTGCGGTCTGCGGCCGCGGCGCTCCGTTTTTCGCGGCAAACGTCCTATGATCCGCGCCGAGGTTATGTTTGGATCTAAAACTATGTTTTCTTTTGTTCCAGCGGGTTGAGTGTGAATGCTGGCCGTTCCTCTCAGCGTTTCCGGCTTGTTTCGAAGTGCGGAAGCGTTTTCCGCACACGACTCGGCTATTTATAGACGAAGACGACCCGGGGCTGCGATCAGCCTCAGCCCCCAGAACCCTCAAATACCAACAGATCGTTCCCCACACTCTCGCGAACGGCAGCTGCAGGCCCTGCGACAATGATGTGAGGACGACTGCCTTGGTCACAATGTCTCTCTTCCTTAAAGTGTTATAATGTTGCTGGCCATTGGGGAGACTGTGTGTGCAGAGAAAATGGCCCTATTCGAGTTTGGATAAGTTTTGTTTTTATTTTTTTTTTCCTTCTGTTATCCCATGAGAAAAGGAACCTGGCCACCTAAGTTATGAAGTGTTGTGCATCAAAACAATCAATCGAGTGACCTAACAAATAAAAACAAAAAACATTCCACAAGTGAAGCAATAAAAACATTTACAAACAATATATATAGATATTTAAAAATCAAGTGAAGAATCAGCTGTGCGCTACGAACAATGTCTCAGAAAACGAAGATGTGTAAATCTCCTAAAAATATTGTTTATGCTCAAAGTGATAAGATTGAGTATGAGAATATGAATACGAATTGCACCATTGTTGGTTCCAACAACCTGCACCTGGTGAAGAAACCTCAGCTTGTGACCAGCATGTCTCCAGCATACTCGAACCCCAGCCCTGGATACCCACCGAGCCCCTACAGCTCGCCGGCTAGTCTCAAGAGCCCTTCACCGCTGAACATGAAACCACCAACACCTCAACCAAACTCAATACCAGGTAAGATAAATATATCTCTTCTATTTTTTTTCCTATTACATAAACATCTTAAATTATCCCCTACTGTAACACACAAAATAATAGGAAATACTTCCTGTTCACATTTAACTCACCCCAGTTTAAACCATGAGAGGGTTTCAACTAATCACCAATCTCTCTCCAAAAACATAAGGAACTTATTCTATTTTAAGCTAATTGTTTTTTTTTGTTCCTTGCATAATATAATATACATCTGCTTTTCTTTGAAGCTCCCTTTGGTCTTTCACATCATCAAATCAAGTATTTGTAACAATTGAACTTTTGAATTCATATATGAGAATCAACATGTTATAATATTTCAAGAATTGTTATTGTATCAGTATGCATTTTAAAATCAATATAATTAAGGTAATTATGTATTAATAATAATGCAAATGATTTGAACTTTCATTGAAGATAATCTGACAAAATCTTCTGCAGTTATCATTTTTACAATCATAAATAATTATCTATTATCTAATTGTAAAATACTTTATTTATTAATTGAAATCTTATATGATAATGAACATATTTCAAAACATGTAATTATGAATACAAGTAACATTATGTTTATTAATTCATTATGCAAGCAATATTTTATATCATATTCTAGTATTTCCATTACTAGCAGTAAAATATAATTTAAATGTAATTTGGTTGATAAACATCAATTAGTAGATTCTTAATATTATCGCCGAAATACCAATTTTTTATTAAACTAAAACAACATTGAATTGTAATTTAATTGTTCAATGTTTTAAATTAATTGATCTTAAATATTCATGCAAAATTTCGTTTGAATTTATTTAAAATTACCTGTGTATCTTCTTTTTTTCAGTGATGCAAATAATACATAACAGTCATCCAGTGATATCAAGAAATATGTCGCAGCCGCAAAATGTGATAAAACTGAAACCGCCTTTAAATATTTTACCAAAGCCTTCAGCAAGCCCTCAACAATCTCCCAAACCTAGTGTCAGGTAATATTTGGACAAAGTGTCCATAAGTCTTCTAGATATTTGTACAATAATACATACTAATTAATTATTTTTCTATTTTGTAGTCCGCAAATAGTTTTACCAGCGAATCACCAGCAAGCTACAATAATGCCTACACCGCAACCTCTTCTTTTAAATCAAATGCCTATGCTAACACCTGGTGTACAATATATTTTAAGACCACATACCGCCAAACTACCAGCTCAAATGCAACAGACTCAACAGGGTCTGATACTGCAGCAAGGAGGTCAGCAGCTGCTGCAGCTTCAACCTCCAAGATCTCAACCGATGGTGCGCTTACTTTCTAATGGTGTCGGCTTACCTACCACCACCTATGTAACACAGGTATTTTGATTGACTTGGAGAATCATCTCTATGTTCATTGTTTTATCGATGCTCATCGTTTTAGGTTGCTCCACAAAATAATATCCAAGTGACGAGCACGCAAAGTACGCCGCCTAAGAAGAAGTCTCACAAGAAGAAGAAGCAGAAACTGGATTTGGCAAATATAATGAAGCTATCAGGTATTGGGGATGACGATGATGTACAGTTCGAATCGGATACATCGCAGAGCGAGAGCGAGCACAATATCCATTCTCAACCGGCCACGCCGCAACCTCAACCTACGCCTCCAACTATAGTACAATCGACGCCTTCTCAGGTGGTCCAGACCCAAGGGACCGTCGACGCAAAGCAAAACTCAAATAAAGTTAATAATCTACAATTAACTGCAGTGCCTCAAACTATAAACACGACAGGAGCGCCTGTAGTGCAACTGTTGAACCATCAGACGTTTCAGGGGGGAACACAAACGGCAACTGCACAACCCACGAGTATACCGTACAGTCCCTTTCTCACACCGAACTTTACCATTAATAATGGACTGATGGTCCAACGTTCTGGGGGATTCCGGTTGGCATTGGGTGAAGATGGCAGACTGGTGCTGCAGCATGATCCCACGCTAAATCAGGATATACAGTCCCAATTGTTGCTTCAGAATATATTTGGTTTAAACGGCGGGCTCGTTCTGCAGCCGAGTATAGACCAGCAGATCCATTCGCAGACCGTGCAAACGATACAGCAGCAATCTGTGCAGACTATTCAACAGCAAACTGTTCAGTCGCAGACGATACAGACCGTTCAACACCAAATAGTTCAGCCACAGACTATACAATCGATACAGTCACAACTCCAAGGTCAAATACAGTCTTTACTGCAACAACAGAATCTGGGGTCACAGTCGATTGCTATACAGCCTCAGAACATCACGATCCAGCCGCAAGGATTGCAAAGCTTGCAGGTGTCGCAGCCAATCAGCATACAGTCACAATTGCAATCCCAGCCAATTACTATCCAATCGCAGGCACCCATCAATCAGATCGCATTGGCCTCCCAGAGTCAACCGATTTGCATGGTGACACAAACTCAACCAATCAATAGTCATATTCCAAACATTCAGTCTACATCACAGCCACAAATACATTCACAATCAGCCCCGGTCCAAATTTCCCAGGCGAACCATATGATCAGTTTAACGCAACCCAGTCAAATCTTATCCCAAAATCATACAAGCAATCTGACGAGCGTTCAACAGCAACAAGCGCAAGTGCAGCAGCAACAACAACCGCAAGTGCAGCAACAACATCAGCAAGCACAACCGCAACAGATTCAACCTCAAGTGCAGCAAAGGTTGCAACAGCCGCAGCAGATTCAACCTCAGCAGCCACAGCAGATACAACAGCCGCAACAAATACAACCACAGCAGTTGCAGCAGCCACAACAAATACAGCAACAACCGTTTACTCCGTTGTCGCAACCTAATGTTGGGAGTCAACCAGTGTTGAAGGTGCAACCTTTCCAGAAAAGTCAACCACCTGTTCAAACTGTACACCCAATCCATCATCACAACTCCCAACAGCCGCAACAACAACCATCACAATCAACGTCTTACGTTGTAAATTTAACCCCTGAGCAATTGGAGCAGCTCAAGCGTGACGGTCAATTAACGATAAATGGACAAACAATATTCATGCAGCGAAGTACTAGTACTACAAAGATCGAAGAGAAGAAAACTTCACCTAAGATAAAGCCTATCAAAAAGACGATTAAATTGACTGCCATTAGAGAGAAACTGCCTACTGGGAATAGTCTTGACAAAGTTATTAATAATGTGATTAAGGATTCAGGAAAGTCGGGTCCCGTTTGTATAGCCCAACGGACTCCCATCAAGTGCCAAGTGACACAGGCCTCCGTGCAAACCCAACATAGTACGACCACTACGACGCCAGCTGTATTAAAGGCTCAGCCTGCGGCAATCATTCACCCATCGGTGCAGCCGACCACTCAAATACAACCAAAAGTTCAAATTATTGCACAACCTAAGGTAAGCCAAGAAATCGCGCCTAATCATCCGGAAGTTGACAAGTTTTTGGGCCAATTAGTTGAGGATAATACTGCTCAAAAGCGACATCCAAATAAAGCTATTGTTACTAAGAGTGTTGCTAATGTTACAACTCCCCAGAATAATCTGGTGCATAATTCCGTGGCAACATCAATTCCGCAGCCTCGGCCACCGCTAGCAATACCACCGCAGATCGCAAATCCCACGCAGAGAGTGCACACTATACAGTTGACTCCACAGAAACAGCAACATTTAAAGAGCATTCAGGTACAAATACAGGCGCTGTCGTCACGTTTAGGATCTGGTGACACTGACGCCCAGGAGGCGCTCAAGTTGCTTTTCCAGGAACAGCAGAAGATTCTGGCGACAGGAAAACTTCTGCCGCCAGATAAAGTGTTTTATCACAATAATCAACTTGTGGTCAAGAACGATGTAGTTAACACGACGAATAACAGACATCCAATTACGACGACCAGTAGTGCTGTTACCAATGGACCTCAAGTGCTGACCCAACCACCGACGGTAAATTTTACGATTCAAAGAATTTCAAGAAACCTATTTTTTGATGTTTTTATTTCTTGCGACATTTAGGTGGCCCAGACGCAACAAAAATTGATAGTTTCCAGTGCTTCTGAAATTCAAGTACAAAATGCAATAACCTCTGTAAAAAAGAATATTTTGCCAATTACGCAACCACCATCGTCAACATCATCTTCGGCCGTCGTATCATCTGCTCCATCTTCAACGCCAACTCCGACTATCACCTCTGTAGTATCATCGACACCGAGTATTCAGAGTTCCAGTACACAACGTTTCATGCCACTTTATACTAAAGTGCAATTGTAAGTACTTTAAAGAAATCCTGCTCCTTTTTGTTACTTATAGTTCTTATTGTTTTCTTCAGAATCGAGCAACAATTGAACACGGATCAAAACGGAGCAGTTAAACCGGATATTCAGACTCCATTTAAGAATAAAGCTGACGCTTGCAAACGGTTGATTAGGTATCATTGCTTCGATCAACCGGTGTTGAGTCAGAAGGACCTTAACAAGGCCGACGAAATCTTCGAGTTGACTGCTAAACATTTCATTGACAAATTTGGAAGGATGGTGGACAAATACAGATTTTTGCTGCACAAAGAAAGTCAAGTAAGTTGCTTGCTTTAGTTATATATTTATTATGATTATATTAATATGCGGTTTGTGTCTTAATTTAATTAATGGTCGGGATCATAGGAAATTGATTATCTGTGTTTGTTCTGTAGCGCCACGTACAAACTTCGGAACTGATGATGTTGGACAGAATGTTCCTTGCCGAAGAGCAGCAGTCATTAATCAAACTGCGACAGGATATGGATGAAAAAAATCAAGAGATGCAGCAGTCGTCGCAACAGGGAGTTGCCGGGACCTCTGCAGGTTCGGATGAGAGGAGAAACGAAGATGGTGAAGACTATGATGAATGGGCATGTATTCAGAGAGAGTTGGGTTGTATACCAATGACCGGGACTGCTAGTGGCTGTGAGGGCAAGCAAACGCCTGTGACTAGTACTGCAACTATGGCGACGACGACGACAACGACTTCCGCGAGTACTCTGAGCACGACGACCGCCACGAGCAGTAATTCGCAGTCGATGAAGAGGTCGTCGAGCGCGGACTCGAGGCTTGAGACGTTAAAGAAGTTTCGCGTCGACAAGCATTGCAAGAAGATGGAAGTAGTGAGTGCTAATTGTACGAAAGCCAATTACCAAAGTAGCAATACGAACGTATTCACGACAACGGTCGTCCACGGTGCTAATTACCAAAGTAACGAGATCAACCAACGGGCGATCCAACGGACGAACGCTCGTAATATGCAGACCAATCAGGATATGCCTTTTCACCACAACTCATCCATCCATAGTTATTCCTCGAACTCCGTTCATCACATCCAGAATCCCATCCAGAGGGTACACAACATGCATCACCAGCACGTGGTGCATAACCAGCAGCTAGTTCAGCGTAACGTTCAGCATTACAGCAGCACCCAGCATATAGTGCAGCACATCACGCACACAGTACATCATACTCAGCAGATGCATCACACGACGGGAGCTGGAAGTAGCGGCAGCAGCAGCAGCACTACCCATCATCACCATCACAGTAGCAGCATCCATTCCCAAAATAGCTACAGCAGTGGTAACGAGGAGCTAGACAATAACGATAGCATCGACGAGCAGGTTCAATCTGCTATAGATTCAATATTGAACCTGCAGCAGAACACGAGCCTAGACCTTGACGAGACGGTTCAGAGCATGCTGTCGTGACGTTAACGTTACGAGTTTCTTTTATACACCATCAATATGTACAAAGGAAAGAAGGATATTCTTCATAGTTTTTACGTTCACCGTGTATATATATAATTATATTTTTAACAGCAATTGTAACGGACGAAAAAAGTAAATTGAAAGCAATCCCTCCTCAGTAAAGAAAAGCTAATATTTAACAACAACAACAACAAACGGCAACTAAACTAATGGCAGCAAAAGCAACCTATGAATCACAAAACAATTTAGTTCATTATTTTATTTTTTAATTTATTCAATTTTAGGATATTTAAAAGTGTAAATAAATAATATACATATTATATATATATTATAAATTGTATAATTAAAGAACCGTCTTTAATATTGTAAAAAGTTTATTTATTAATCATTGATTGTGTGATCTAGTAGTAATCTAAGTTATATAAGCGAAGAAAAGAGAGGTGTCTTTTTTCTTCCCAACTCTTTTTTTTTTGTTCTTATTTAAATTAATCGGTAGTAATTTTATTACGTCGAAACGAATGCGTCTAATTTTTAAACTTTTATTTATGTAGAGAGAGAAAAATGAATTTTCCGGCCTATATACACGATTGTACATTCGTTCGTTTTTTTTTGTTTTAAAATTTAAACTATATTGTAATTATTTCAAATTGTTTCGTTTGTAAATAGCGAATTCGAAAAGTGATTGAAAGCTATTGATTTTTTTTTTATATCTATCTATGCTCAAAACAACAACACTTGCGAAAGAAAATATATGATGTTTTATGATTGTTTAATTTTTAAAATAATTTCTCTGCGGCTGTTGTGAACTACAAACAAAAAAAAAAAAGAATAACAATGAGCAAAGTAATAAGATTATGAATAATAGTAATAAATACTGATAGGAAATATAAAGAAATATCGGACGTACAAGTTCTGATTTTATTTTGGAATAGATCATCAATAATGCGGGGCGAGAGAAAACAGTGATATAATCCGAAAACTTTAGCGTTTTCTTTCTTTTTTATTTTTTAAATTTTTTTTTTTGTATAATTTTCATTTAATTTTTTTGTTCTTCTCGTTTTCGCTCTCGCTCCCAGATTTCCGTTATACTTTAACTCGTGCGACATCGTGTGTCTTACTTCGCGCTGTGTGGCTAATTTATTTAAATTATATTTTGTTTGTTTCGTAATTTATTGTATAAAGAATGAAAGAGAAGAAGGTATGTACTTAGTTATGTAATTCTTAAGGTTATATTATTAAGACTGATTATGACGTTTTAGTTCCTATCGGAGAGGAAAAATAATAATAAAAAAAAAACATTCTCAAAATAAAATACTTATTGCTGTATTCATTCATCAATCTCTCCTACATCCCAAAACATGTCCGTGTCTTTAATGGTTCGGGCCGGTCGAGAAGCAGAACTCCACTTTGATGATCATCCCAAGGAAGTCCGCCTCGTGCATACAGTCTTTTGCTGTTACAGCATCACTGTACGAGTCGTACTCCACCAAGGCGTAACCCTAAACGAAAATTTCGAGGAATCATAAAATTATTTAAAAAAAATATTTTTTAATAATTAATTTGTAAAATTGTAATAATTGGAACAAATTACTTATTGAAAGCTAGTCTTCTGCTTCAAAATAAAAATATATAGATTTATAACTAAATTTAAATGAAATTTTAAAAATGCTATTGGAAATAAACTTAATTTATAATACGTTACACCACCACAAATAGGGGCGTTACTAGGGGATGTTTCTACAACCCTAAACAATACTAATTGGTAGATTTTATCTATTGAATTTAATAAAAAAAAATGCATTATCCATTAGTTTCTGAAATATAATTCTTGTACTTAAGTGGAAGTAATTATGTATGAATTAATTTAACTCTCATAATTATTTAATTATTACAATTTTACTGAAAAATATTAATAGTTCAAATTAAATTAAGTAAGATTTACCTTAACAAATCCAGTTCTCCTATCCAAGTTTAGAGCAATGTTCTTCACTTCGCCAAATTCGTTGAAGGTGAAACGAAGATCATCCTCGGTCGTTTCCTCGTGCAAGTTTGTAATGAACAAGATCCAACCTTCCTTCGATTTAAGTGGTACAGAATCGACGTTTTCAACTTGAGGAACTCTACAAGTATAATCAAATAATAAATCATTTACTTTCAACCTCAGATTCATTTGGAAATATATTTTTTAGTGTTTTTACTGGCTTTTCTCTAAACTGGACAGCGATTGAATATTGTCAGAAGTTAAATTAGATTTGTTAATAATTAGTAGAGGTTTTTGCAACCAAATATTTTCCGCGACAAATCTTGCTTAACTTTCGTTTTTGTAAATGATCTCACCGGCGACTCTCGTGCATGTAGTGCTTATCGTACTGGGACATATCGGAAAAACCACGTCCTCTTCTACGTCGAGTCTCTACCTCTTTGTACATAGCCATAATCTAATAATTAACAAATATTACATAACATAGAAAAATGTATTATAATTAAAAGTTACACTAGGAACAATTATAATTAAATAATATAAGTTTTATTAGACGCAAATTCAAAATGTGATCATAATAAGAAAATCGTATTAGGCTGATAACAAAAGAAAAAAACAAAAAGTGCAATACTTCAAATTAACAAAAATGAAAATTACACTCGGATTTTGAATTCCATACATTTGAATTCACGTTAATTATATAACGCAATAAATATTATTTAATAGAATTGTTTAACGACTCAGTTTAATTAACATACTGTACTTACTTGAGATTCAATTAACTTGGCAAGTTTGAAGTAGCTCGAACTTGTTGAACAATTTTTGCGGTATTTGATCACTTTTTGGTTAGTTTTGCACAGTGCCACCAACTCACTTCCGGACAAACGATTGGCGAAAATTGAAATCACCGTGACGAAAAATCATGTTAATAGGGTCATCTGTTTCCAGCCATAGGCAAATTACTATACTGTTTCAATTCCAGTTCACTATGATCACATATTTCACGAAGATCTGAGTTCGAATCTTAGAGGTAAATTAAAATGAATCAATTACGTTGTGTGGTTACTAAAACCGGAAATAAAGTTGCAATCATTAAAAAAATCAAATATTAACAAAAAAAATCTGAGTTTCTCTATTGATTTTTATGGATTTTGAGCATAAAAAAATATATTTTATAGTGATAAAAACAATAATTTTTATTAAAACTTAATCAATTGATAATTTAGCTATAATTTGTGTTAACTTCTGAAAAATTGTTTAAAGTTTATTAGTTTTTTTTTTGTAATTAAATCATGATAGAAATTATTTATTAAAATAGAAACTCTATGTATAATCATGCAAATCGTAACAATATCAAAAAATTTAATTAATTATTTAATTTATTTAAATTTTATATCAATTTTTAATTAATTAATGAAACTTTCCAGTAAAATTTATAAAATTGTTGAAAATTTATTTTTTATTAAACATGTTTATACAAACTTTGTTACGAATTTTATTCAATGTTAAAAAAAATATAGAACGAAAACGAAAAATACATTCATTTAAAATTGTAAAATTATTATTAAATAAATCAAAACAACACGTTTTAATTTTGTATTGAATTGTAATAAGATCTTTTACTGCTTCCATTATACTTATTTACTTTGCAAATAGACTTAAATTTTAAAAATCTATACTTTTTTCTTTGATTTAACTTAAAACTAAACAAATGTCTTTTTGACAACGATTGAAATTGATACATTTGTAGCGAATATACTCATTTTTGTTAATTTTAAATGTTGAAGAGGTTTTTCTGACACTGATTGAAATTGATACATCGATATTATATTTACACTTTTTTTTTTGGGATGTTGAAGAGGCGTTCAGTGTGGAAGAGACAAATAAACGTGAGAGAGAGGGCCACGCCCCGAAATTTCGACCCGCCCGACCAATCGGATCGTTCGGTTCGCATGTGTTGCGCCTATCCGCTACAAATAAGCCATAAATTCGTGTCAAAACGACGAACCGGATCGCATAAATAACACTCGAAACTCTATTTCTGACACCCAGTTTTATTATCATTCTTCTACAACTCGCAAATTTATCGCCCTATTATAAATACATATTTGTATACATAGAAGAAAAAAAACATTCTCACAACGTTATTTTCGGTTATGTAATACGCACGTTGAAAGATGAACAAACAAAAATTCTACACAGGAAACTGTTTGTTAAATATACTTTTCTTTAGCTCCACGGAAGTGTTACTTCTTTTGATTAATTCTGTTTTTTTTTCTTAAATACGAAATTTATACTATGTCAAGAAATTAGTGAAAATTTATTGTTGAAGTATTACTTTCTACGGTTTACAAATAAAAATACAAATTTTCAATTTACGAACTCCCGGACTTACGAACAAAATTCTAAAAGCTCTAACTAGCTATAGTGATAAAAAAATTAACTGTCCAAACAAAAATTGATAATTTCTTTAATAAAATATAATATTTTTGGAAGATCTGTACTATGTATTTGCGTTTGAATTGAAAAGTATTTGTAAGTAAGTATTTTGTTTATTTTAATCTATTTAAATTCAAATTTATGCAGTAAGTAATACGGAATTAAACATATATAAAGGGTGGTAAGATAAGTATACTTTTAATTCGACTTACGAACAACCCTTTGGAACGGAACTAGTTCGTAAGTCGGGGGAATCTTGTACTTAATTTATATATTTCGATGACATTTTCTTTTGATTTATATGATATTATTATGGAATTTCAATGAAATTTCTATATTTTTTTTAAGCGATTTCTATAAGATTTATAAACAACAATTTTAAGTAAAAAGTGAATAAAAATGTATTTTATTTTGAAAAATTAGTGAATTACCTTTAAAAATTTACTTATAGAAAAATAGAAATTTTTTGAAAATATTGAAATTTTTTGTAGAAATTGAAGGAAGTTGATACAATTAAATATAAATATAAGCATTTCTATAAAATTTCTATGGTAGAAATCGCTATGATATTTTTAAGTGATTTCTATAAAATTTATAAACAAACATTTTAAGTTCCACTACTGAGTAAAAAGTGTATAAGAAATAGTTAATTTTATTGAATTTAGAAAAAAATTAGTGATTTTTCTTTAGAAATTTACTTATAATTTCAATTTAACAAAAATAATATGATTTAATATACTTTTCAGCTAAATATTTTAGATGTAAGTTGTAGAAATTGAAGAAAGTTAATACAATTAAATAAAGCGTTCAGAAAGATTTTAAGAAATTTTATCAATAATTGTTGAATTAGAATAGATTTTTATAAAATTTCTATGGTAGAAATCCATTATGAGATTACATAGAAATCGCTATGATATTTTTAAGTGATTTCTATAAAATTTATAAACAAACATTTTAAGTTCCACTACTGAGTAAAAAGTGTATAAAAATAGATAATTTAATTTAATTTTGAAAAAATTTAGTGAATTTCATTTAGAAATTTACTTATAATTTCAATTTAAGAAAAATAATATGATTTAATATACTTTTAAGCTAAATATTTTAGATGTAAGTTGTAGAAATTGAAGTAAAATTGAAATTATAAGTAAATTTCTATTTATACACAAAGTGTATAAAAATAGTTAAATTTATTTTATTTTGAAAAAATTTAGTGAATTTCATTTAGAAATTTACTTATAATTTCAATTTAAGAAAAATAATATGATTTAATATACTTTTAAGCTAAATATTTTAGATGTAAGTTGTAGAAATTGAAGAAAGTTGATACAATTAAATAAAGCGTTTAGAAAGATTTTAAGAAATTTTATCAATAATTGTTGAATTAGAATAGATTTCTATAAAATTTCTATGGTAGAAATCCATTATGAGATTACATAGAAATCGCTATGATATTTTTAAGTGATTTCTATAAAATTTATAAACAAACATTTGAAGTTCCACTACTAAGTAAAAAGTGTATAAGAAATAGTTAATTTTATTAAATTTAGAAAAACTTTAGTGAATTTCTTTTTAGATGCAAGAAAGTTGATACAATTAAATAAAGTGTTTAAAAACTTCAAGATTTTAAGAGATTTAATCAATCATTAACTGTCTTAATTTTATCATTATACACATTTATTTAGTATAAATTCAATTTAACTCAAATTACTCAAATCTTATTGATTCAAGAATTTAAAAAAATACATTTTTTTTTGTAAAAATATATTATGTTTCACAATTGTTATTATAATATTTACAATTTATTTGTTTGATAATAATAACAAATAAATATTTGAAAAATTGTAGTAATTAGCTTTGCTATAGGGATATTAATTAGTGAAGTAGTGAAAACAATCTAAAAAATGCATATTTTGTAATGAAAATATATTTTAATTAATTAATAAAAGAAGTTAAGAGTTATTTAGATTAGTTTTAGTAGTTGAATTGGAGTGTATAGATTTTGAACTTAATTCTTAAATTTTAATGAAAATGATGTTAATTGAGACATTGTTTTGACACGTCTGACAATGAAGAAACGTGCGGTGGTAAAAGGTGGAGTGGGTGTGTACGAGAGTCATGCATCTGTCGTTGAGTCCAAAAATAGTGCGTACGTTTTAGTGCCGTTTGTCCGAAAATTTTATTTTGATAGATTATCATAAAAATCATTCCGCGTTGCTAATTGGCCCCGTTTCGTGTTTACATTTCATCATTAGTCATGGGACATGGTAAATAGCGCGCCGTGCCGTGATACACTTTAAATTTTTGTTTTATTTATTTTTTTTTGTTAAGTTTTCATTTTAAATTTATTATTTTTGTTTCTGCTCGTGTCGCTTGATGGAAATGATCCGTAGACGGCGACCAACAGAAAAAAAAAATGCAGGCGAAACGAAGCGATTTGTGCATTGGGAGGACGATGGGCGGGACGAAAATTCGGAGCCCCCCATGTGATTCGAACGCACGTGACCGGGTTTCAGGGATTTCAGGACAGGAGAGAGAGAGAGAGAGAGCATGAAAAGTGTCGCCTGAAAAGTTGGCCTCGCGTGCTGACATCCAGTGCGGTCGCGTTCTTGGAAGAACCAAAGAGTAGTTTCAATAGTAGTAGTAGTAATAGTATCAGTAGAAGCAACGGCAGCGGTAGTATCATAAAAGATGGACTGCTTTCAGAACTATTTCAGCGGGAAGCAGCAGTTTCGGGGTGGCGCGGTTTTGGACAAGTCTGGAAAAGTGATACAGCAGCAGCCAGGTGTTAAGTACGACAGTTTTCCTAGGTCTTCCGCTAAACCGGACACGGGTTACGTGAGCGCTGAAAGCTCTTTGGATAGTGACGAAGATCGGGATGCTGGGAATCATCATCACATCTTGGAACCCAGCGGCACCGGGTGCGATGGACCTAGGAGGTGTTTGGCTTGGGCGTGCAAAGCTTGCAAGAAGAAGACAGTTTCTATTGACCGACGGAAAGCAGCCACGCTTCGCGAAAGGAGAAGATTAAGAAAGGTAACTTCACAAAGAAGACAAATTTCTATCTTACTTGATTCATTTATACTAGAACAACAATAAAACCAATTTCAATTATAATTGACACAATTGACACAAAATATATAAAATATTTTTTGTAATTTTGAAAATTATTGAAAATATTTAAGAATAAATTGAAAATTGTCTACTCAAAGACATTAATATACATTAGTTAGTTTCATACTTACAATTATTTCAATCTGAAAAGGATGAAAACATATTCAATTATCTTTAGAAAAATTTATTTGAAAACTTATTAATTTAAAAACGTTTTTGATCATTTTAATATGAAATGTAATCAGAATATATTTTTTTTATTTGTTTTACATTTAGTATGTGTTAAATTCAAACAAAATAGAAGAAAATTAGTATATTGAAAATGTAACATAATTGATTATTAATAGTATAGTTTCTATTTGAAATAACTATTTTAAGAAGTAAACTACTTTTTCTTTGCTTGTGAAATTTGTATGTGATTTTCATTAATTTATATAAATTAATATGAAATTTAAACAAAATGTAATAAATTTATTTCTATTGTGAAGAAAATGTTAGAAAATCTTGAAAAAGAAAAATAGTTTTTTTTTATTTAACTTGAAAGACAATTGTTTTGAATAATTGTCATAATTCTTAATTTGACGTTTAAAATCAATAAATGTCAAAAAGATAACCAATTTTTGGAAATGTCATGTGTTTTTAAGTAATATAAAATTAGATATAATCAGAATTTACTGTATTATAATTGTATATTTACCTTAAAATTTAAATATAAAAGAAAGAAATGGAACAAATTAATTTTATTTTTACTTTGAATTTATGTAACTCGGTAAATTTTATTGACATTTACTATTATTGCTGTAAACAAAACAATATATTAACAGTTTTCAGTTTACAAATTATTATTTTCTTATTAAATTTTGACTTTTTTGAAAATTATTTATGTTATGAACTTATATATAACCAATTAGCAATGCAATATTTTTCTGTTCTCATCTTGTAAACAACTATATCATCATCAGCTTCAAACGAGATTTTTTTTTAAATTAATAATTGGTATTAGCTTCTAAAGTACTTTAATATAAAACTTTGTAATTAATAAATGAGAAGAATAAAATTAATTTCCTAACAATTTGTCTTTATATAACAATGAGAAATTTCCATGACAATCACAGCTTGTTTTTTGTTATTTTGCGTTTCTCTAACTACTTGTCAAATTAAAGTATTTGACTTGTCAAGTAAAAATTATCTTTATCCAATAGTGTGAGGTTTCCATGACTACCGTAGCTTGTCTCTCGAAATATAACGTTTCTCTAAGTACTTGCCAATTTTAAGTGTCTGACTTGTCAAGTAAAAATTGTCTTTATTCAATAGTGTGATGTTTCCATGACTACCGTAGCTTGTTTCTCGAGATATAACGTTTCTCTAAGTACTTACCAATTTTAAGTGTCTAACTTGTCAAGTAAAAAATGTCTTTATCCAATAGTGCGTAGTTTCCATCACTACCGTAGCTTGTTTCTCGTGATATTGCGTTTCTGTAACTACTTGTCAAATTAAAGTAATTGAATTGTCAAGTAAAAATTATCTTTATCCATGACTATCGCAGCTTGTTCTATCATGAAGAACTAAGTACTTGTCAAGTTAAGATAAGTTGTATTTAGATATAATTAATTCTGCAACCTGTTTATGTATGTTTTCAGGTGAACGAAGCGTTCGAGCTGCTGAAGAGACGGACGTGCAACAATCCCGGGCAGAGGTTGCCCAAGGTGGAGATTCTCCGGAGCGCTATAGAATACATAGAATACTTGGAGGAGATTCTTCAGGGCTCTAAATCACCTGCGGAGATTCAGGCCTCGTCCAACGGCACCGAATACATCGTGAGTAATTTATCAGAAACGTAGAGTCATTTTAAAAATAAAACCAAAACGAATTTATCAACGACACATAACGAAGGAAGCAAACAAAAAAAAAGAGTATAAAGAGAAATACACAGTATTTCTGCTTTGTTGCACTCATAAATTATAATGTTAAAAATAACACAAATCCTAAAGAATGTTATAATTTGAAAGATTTAATAACAATAATATGTGAAAGTATGTTAATATTTATTATTTTAACAATTCCTATACGTTTTTATTTTTGGAATTTACGAACTAAATTTCAATAAAATTTTTGTTAAATGAAATACAGATTAAGATGATTTCAAATACATTTATTATCTTCAAAGATCCACGTAGAGGCAACATACATATCATTAAATAACTTTGATACTTTAGTGAATTATATGTGTAAAAACGTAGCTTAACTTTTGTATCCTGTGAAACAGTAATTAATGCTTCAATCAGTAAGAATTGTACGAAAAAAACTAATTTCGGTCTGAGTTTCTGAGAAAAACATTAAATTGTGCTTTTTTAAATTTCTCATTACTTCTTATTTGAAAGCATATTACACCCAAATGGATGAAACTACAATAATAATTGAATACACGTTGCATTCCCCAAATATCCTACTTTCATATACATCTTTTGGATCCATTCTATCTATTATATATTTAGAGAAAATCAGAATAATGTGAAGACACTTTTTCAGAGCTTTAATTTTTTACTTCATTTTTGAATGCGTATTGCAGCTAAATGCATTAAGACACAGCAACAAATGAATACTCGCTACATTCCCCAAATATTCTATTATATGAAAATGTGAAAATACTGCATACTTCCTATTTGAGCGTGAATTATAGCCAAAAGGTCTATAATAGTAATAAGTTTTGCAAAAGTTCAAATGTGAAGTTTCCGTTAGAGACAAGACACATATAATCTTATAACTCATAACATCAAATACCTGCTGTATATTGAAGATATACATGATACATAGTTCAAAGCTATGTAGTTCCAAAATTGCAAATTAGAAAGCTATGCAAAGTTGGAAAAGAACAATCTTGAAGAATGTTGAGAGTTCAAATGCGTATGTCCATATATTAGTCTGGTTGAAGTAACATTGGTAGGGAGACTAGTATCCTGTCTTGACAAAGTATCAAGATGACACTTATGATCCCAGGACAGTGAAAGGCCGTGCATAAATCGCAACCTATAGAGCGTTTTGTAAACTCTAAAAATATGTCTCTGTGAGCGTATAAATGCATTCGATCGTTTTATTTCTAGTTTTTGTGTCTGCCGCACGTAAGAACGCGTATGCCGCGAGTGTATGCGTTTGTGTCTGTCTTGTTGGTTTGGTGCAGTCAGTAAATTTAATTCCGTGCTATCGTTTGGCATATTTCTGATCCTGGCCATGTTCCAACTCTCTTCGGGGCAGACGGAACGTTTAATTAATAGGCGACTTAAACCAACACGATTTTGATTAAATTCTTCGTCTTTCATAATATAATTAATGTCGCGACCCCGCATCGTCTACACACCACAATTTTTACGTCCATCCAGATTTATGCACCAGATGCATCCGCACTAAAATCATCATCAATCAGATACACGCGAAATAGAAGAAAAAAAATATATATAGATGAATGGAAATAAAGTAGAGATGATCACCTGGATTGATTTACGTGAGAAGAGAATTGTGGAGATAAATCTTGATTGCTTAACTAGATTCCAATATATTTGAATTCCAATTAATGGCAAAAATTAATTAGTTTTATGACAAGAATTTAACTTCAGAAACATTAGTTGTATTTCAAAGACAACTTTAAAGAAAATGCATAAAAAATTTGAATATTATTAAAAGTTATAAAAGAAATATAAAATTCAAATTTACTTGCAGATGATAAACAAATTTTTTGCGAAGATTATGATGAACTGCGATCATAATTTGATTTACGCGAAAAGAGAGTTGTGGAGATAAATCTTGATTGCTTAACTAAATTCCAATATATTTGATTTCTAGTTAATGGCGAAAATTAATTAGTTTTATGCCAAGAATTTAACTTCAGAAACATTAGTTGTATTTCAAAGACAACTTTAAAGAAAATGCATTAAAAATTTGAATATTATTAAAAGTTATAAAAGAAATATAAAATTCAAATTTACTTGCAGCTGATAAACAAATTTTTTGCGAAGATTATGATGAACTTCGATCATAATTTGATTTACGCGAAAAGAGAATTGTGGAGATAAATCTTGATTTCTTAACGAGATTCCAATGTTTAATATAATATATATGAATTCCAATTAATGGTGAAACTTAATTAGTTTTATACCAAGAATTTAACTTCAGAAACATTGGTGTTATTTCAAATATATATCAAATTCAAAGACAACTTTAAAGAAAATTTTGAATATTATTAAAAATTGTAAAAGTTGCTGATTTGTATCAAGAAAATAACACTTTTCTATAGAAATATTAGATTCAAATTTAGTTGCAGATGATAAACAAATTGTAAGTTTTTGCGAATATTATGATGAACTGCGATCATAATTTACTCTCTATATTAATTAAATTTAATAATTGCGAGGTGCGTCGTAAATCCACGATTTTCAGACTCGAAAGATTTATCCTTCTGGCTGTGAAGAAGTGGTGGAAGAGGGGGAGGTCGTCTCGCGCGAGTTGTGCGTAAAGTCGGCACGTGTTAATAAGTACACGTTGAAATACTGCCAATAGAGTGTGTTATAGCTTAAGTACTGATAGCTTGATATATTGTCTTCAGCAGAGTTACGCCGCTCCCGTGCATATGTGACATTTAACACGGGCTCGAACGTATACTTGAAATCATCATCATCAGCCACCAACGAAGACATTAACAAACATTCTTTTTTTTTTTCGGGAACGACTCGCATCTAACGCGCATAGAAAACAATCTTCCCGAAATAACGAGCAAACTCACAGGTTATTATGTTTGCTTCGAAATAAACGTCGCTCCAAGTGCATCCACAATTTGTATTGAAGTCTTCAGTTTTGTTACATTTTAGTTACATTTACAATATGGTTCATTACTTCATTATTAAACGTTTTTTTCGAGCGTCAATTTAATGTTATTTCATTTTTAATCGCGAATTACAGCCAAATTGACAAAAGTACAGCAATGTTTGAATACTCGCTGTATTCCCCAATTATCCAAATTTCATATACATCTTTTGGATACATTCTACTTATTACAGTTACCAAGAAAATCACTAAAATGTGAATACGTCGCGTTAATTACAGCCAAATGGCTACATTCCCCAAATATCTAAGTTTCAAATTCATATTTTGGATGTATTTTTATCTATTATAGTTTCTGAGAAAATGAATAAAAACTGATCCAATTAGTAAATATATTACACTTTGAACTATTTTTAAAGATTATATAATAAATTATGAAAATAAATGAGTTAACGCTTATTAACTCATTAATGAGGGCCCTTGTTCGTTATAAACTGAGAGCAAAACGCGCATCACGTTGCACCAAGCTAATATTAAGATGTTGACAAAGACATTCGATTCCTCGATATTACAAACATATGGTCCGCATGTGTTCGCATCGCGGATACAAATCCTTTCCTTCAACAACAAAAAAAAACTTAATCAACCGTACCATAAGAAACTCTACACAATTCCATCCAAATTACAACGTATCTCAGTTATTACGAGCGTATAAAAGTTTTTTTTTTATTAGTTTTCATTGCGGGAGACGGCACCACGATTTAAAGAAATAAACAAGAGAAGTGTGTTGAATTTATAAGATTGTTATTTAATCCGACTGAAATTTATTTGTTTTGGCGATACTAAAGAGGTGACAGTTTTACGTTTCATGATTTTCAGTATTTGGACTTCTTTATTTATTTATTAAACTTTTTATTTGTTGTTTTTTTCTCCCAGATTTTGTTCTAAATCGTTTCAATGTGTCAAGAAAACACTGAAACTTTTTCATTTAATTAAAGTCTATATAAATTCAGTGATCTGACAGTTGCATTCTAGAAGAAGTTCATTTTTTTCAGGTTTGCTCTTAGAGTCTCGTTCTGAAACGTTTCAATTTGCCAGGAAAACGCTGAAACGCCCGTCAATTAATTAAAAGCTATATAAATTCGCGCTTCGAAATGCATGCCAACACAACATGTTTGTTTCATTTCCGAAGGACACCTCTGATTTCGATATTTTCTAGATTTGTGCACAAGATACGTGGAAAATATATATATAACTTTAAATAATGTTATGATTGTAGTAAATATTGAGCAATTATTGGATAATACAATTAAATTGTCATAACTGTTTGACAAATAAAACGTCAAAAAAATGACGTTTTATATGTCAACTGAATAACTTTTTATATGTCAAAAAAATGACGTTTTATATGTTAATTGAATAGCGTTTTATATGTCAAAAAAATAAAGTTTTATATGTTAAATGAATAACGTTTTATATGTCAAATGAATAAGGTTTTATATGTCAAAAAAAAGGAGGTTTTATATGTCGAATGAATAACGTTTTATATGTTAATTGAATAGCGTTTTATATGTCAAAAAAATAAC